GAGAGCTGAGAAAAAGTGGTAACAGAAAAAAAAAAAAAAAAAAAAAATAAACACCTCTTAGTAAAACCAATACCTTCTCAGCTTCGCATCGAAGCTAATACAAAACCCAGAATTTTAACACAAAAATTGCAAATTTTTGAATACGGTAGTCATTTTTATCATGAAGACAAATCCAGAATAATTAATTGATTATAGATATTAAAATCGTTACCCAATAATAATTTACAATTAATCNTATTAAAATCGTTACCCAATAATAATTTACAATTAAGCCCTACAATTACATATGCATTAATAAAATATGAATAATTATTTATTTTTAGTTCTAAGTCTATTCTTCCTAACTGTTCTAACTCCGTATTATCAGCTCCCGTAATAATTACTCTATCTTTAGGTTCAATAAGTTTTACATCATCAATTAATGTTAAATCAACACACGAAATATTAGAACCTGTATCTAAAATTGCAAACCTTTTAAAACCATTGAATTCGACTTCCATTGATAAAACTCTACGTTTTCTTTCAGCTTCTAATTTTTTATTAAGGTATGTAATATCGCTGACTTCTTTTTTTTTTTCACTAATATATTTTTTAGCTTCGATGCGAAGCTGAGAAGGTATTAATTTTACTATGATGTGTTTTTTTATTTTTTTGTTTGTGTCTGTGAACGCTCAATCTCAGCTCTCGCAGGACCGATTTTGATGAACAATATGTCAAAAGATCACAAATCGTATTTAGTCGAAGACATTACCCTCAAAAATTGAAAAAAATTACCTCGTTCCTCGTAAACGGGGGAAATCCCCCAAAAAATTAAAAATTTAAAAATCGCTAATTTTCGATATTTTTTAAAATTTTTTTTACTTAAAAGTGCCATAACTTTTTTAAAAATGATCGAATCAATATAAATTTTTTTTTTTATAGATACCTTAGATATTTACCTATCATTTTATATATTTTTGTGAACATTTGACCCTTTAACAGCCCACAGGAAGGGTTTCAAAATGGTAGCTTTTTTACAAAAAATTAACTTTTTCAACTTAACTTTTGAAAATGTTCCGGAAAGACTGACACTTTTATATATACCTTAAATTAAAGCTAATGTAATNCAATGGTAAAACTATGATTAAAGTAAACTAAACTTTTATACACATAAATATAACTTTTACTATTAACCAGGTAAGAGTATATGTATAAAGAGATGATTATGAGGATTTAAATATATATAAAATCATTATATATTTTAATTTAACCTATTGTAATTTTCAAAAAAATGTATGTTTGTTATATGACAAAAGTCATAGTCAATTGAATAAATAATAATTTATAATTATATTTTTTATTATTATTAATTTGATTATTAAATAGTAATTAAAAAATAATAATGTAAGAGTTTTAAATACACGTAAATATTAATCAATAAATATAATTCAATTCAAATGAATAAATTTTATTTAATGAAAAAAAAAAATGATTA